TGACCACTCTTCGGGTGTTACTGCACGTAGCAGCGCAGAGAGACTACGAGCTACACTCTCTTGACTTCTCCACTGCCTTCCTCCAGGGCCGCCTACACGAGGAGATCTGGCTGCGTCGTCCTCCGGGCTTCACTGGCATCTTCCCGCCTGGGACCCAGTGGAGCCTCAGACGACCGGTCTACGGTCTCCGCAAGGCACCCCGTGAGTGGCACGACACTCTCCGCTCTACACTCCCCGACCTCGGGTTTGAGCCGTCTTCCGCCGACTCGTCGCTGTTTGTTCGTCGTGGGCGCACACCTTTCTTCATTCTGGTCTACGTTGACGACTTGGTTTTTGCCACAGCCGACACAGTTGCACTCGCAGAGGTGAAGTCCGAACTGCAGAAGAGACACACTTGCACTGACCTTGGGGAACTGCGCCGCTACCTTGGCCTGCAGATCTCCAGGGACAGAGCCGCTCGCACCATCACTCTGACTCAGTCACACATGGTGCAGTAGGTCCTTCAGCAGTTCGGGCTTCAAGACTCTTCTCCTACACCCACTCCTCTTGCTGTAGACCACAGACTCACTGGGCCTTTTCCTGACGAGCCGTTCGAGCCCAGTGGAGGTCGAACGGCTCGTGGAGGTCTACTCGGTCCTCCTCTGTTGCGACTTCTACCGCAGAGGCCGAGATCTACGCTGGAGCCCTTGCTGCTCAGGAGCTACGCTGGATGACCTTTTTGCTCACTGACCTTGGTGAGCGGCCGAGCTCTGCACCGACCTTATTTGCAAACAACAAGGCGATGATTCTCCAGTGTTGTGAGCCTCGACTGGAGAGCAGAGTGAAGCACATCGACGTCATGTACTTCCTCTTTCGAGAGTTGGAGAGACGCGGGCAGGCTCGTCTGGACTTCGTGGCTTCCGAGGCCAATACTGCAGACATCTTCACCAAGGCTCTTCAGCCTTGTGACCACCGCCGGTTCTGTCTGCAGTTAGGCCTCGTTGAGACTGGGTCGAGTAGACTGCAGTAGTGAGTGCTTGTCTCTTGTCTTTGCTTGTACTGTATATATTTGCATATACACTCTTGCACTGGCCTTGTGGCCGCTGTTTGCGCTTAGACTGTGTGGCGACGTTGTGATCCACCCTGAGCTTTGTTTTGTCTTTTGTCGGTGACCGGTCTTGTGACCTTAGGTTGTTTGTTGTTACTCTGCACTCCCCACTTAGGCTATGGGGGTGTGACAAGTATTCTAGCCATTAGTGGGTTGTGCAGTAGGGGGTACAGATAGTTAGAGGTAGGAATATGTACCCCAATCCATCCAATGCAACTCATTCCGCTGTAGCCACTTACTGAGACAGCCCCCCACCCAGGCCCTCAGATATCAGCGTAAAACACGCTGATTGCGCTGATTTTGTAGCTCAGATTCTCGTTTTCCCTGAAAATTCAGCATACTGCTTCAATTTTAGCACTGAAATTCTAGTATAACCTATTTTGCCACACTGACCATTTTGCGTGTTGCTGTACAAGTAACACTGATGAATCAGGGCGTATTCCTACGGCTTCCTATCAAGGCCACCTCGTATCAAGATTATGTTTCTCGCCTGTAAATCGGCAACCTCGCATAACCTCATATCAAGTAAACTTGGCGGTTTACCCACATGTGCGGCTCAAAACAAACGCTGATGTGGCACTCTGCGACCCAGCTTGATCAGGCGCTCCGGTTCACACCAAAAGTGCACCACGTAAGTACGAAATGTGCAGAGAGGACAAGTCCAAAACCAGTTCCCACACACTGGCCCATCCACGCCAAGCCCACTCGTTTAACTTGCAAATAGTAGAAATAGCCGCAACGTACGGGAATGTTGCCAAAGGCCTGTACATCGACAATGACGGACGTGCCTTTCCTGCCTAGGTTGTTAATTGTATGGCACGCTTTTTACTACGACACATTCATGAATAGTGTACTCAACACGTGCATAAAGTTTCTAGAGCAGATAAGCACGGCGGAAGAAAAAGATACCATTGTAGAGACGCGGAGTGAACTACGTGCCCGAAATTGAAGCTTACGGCGGCGACGATTAGGCGTATGGGAGGACGAAATGGTGAGCATGCCTGCAGAGGTGTTCATCAACCTTTTCCGCATTAATCGCTCTATTCTGGATTACGTATGCGAAGAAATGGCTCACGTGCTCAACCCCGTCATCCAGCGCCATCGCATACTGATTACCGTAGCCGTGCTCATACCAATTAAATATTTCGCTAGCGCGATGGCGTACGTGGACATGGCGCCAGGTGTGAACGTGTCGCGTGAAGTTTGCAATCCGTGCACGTTCGCGCGCAGCCCACGACTGCCACATCGTCCAGCATCAAACGAATTGGTGACTGCCACATACACTGGGCTAACATCTGTTCGTCAGGAACCGTGTATCGGGAAATCAATACGTTCTCGCGAAACCCTGCGAGCATTTCTATTGGTGCGCTTAATCGGTCCAATCTTGATATCTGGTGTTTTATAACGTATACATTGTCAAACCAAATTCTTGATAGGAGGTGGTCTGATAGGAGGCCGTAGGAATACGTCCTCAGTATAGTTCAGTGAGTCACACTGAAACGGACTTGACCGCGCGTGCGTGTGTGTGTGTGGGGGGGGGGGGGGGGGGGGGGGGGTAGGATAGGGTACGCATGTACAGACAGTACCTTCCCGCGATTTACGAAACCCCACCCACACGCTTGGAATTTTTTCCCATGCACTGTACAGACAGCTGGTGCGTGCGAACCATTTTGCCTCACTGGAAGCCATCACACCGAAACAGCTCTAGCCTTGTTCATGACTGCCCAATAAAAAGAAAGACAACACACCACTGGAGGCAGGGTCCACGCCAACACGCCATAAAGGATGGCAGTGGGGTGGGGGTCTTGTCATCTTGCCAGGAAACACGACCAGGGTGGACCAAGACGCCTCTCCATGGCGGATCGGGAGAGGGGGTACCCCCATCTGGTCCCTCATTCTGTTCTTGCACTCGCCGTGAACCCCTGCAGGAAGTGACATTTGTGCTCAAGCGTACGCAGGAGTAGCTTCCCTCTCAAGCTCGGCACGCTCGGCAGAGCTGAGCAGCCATGGCGGATCTGTCGGCCGCAGGCGACGGCCCTGAATCCCACGCTGCCACAAAGCCAGTCTCCCTTACTGGCCTTGACTTCTTATGACGACCTTCAGTTGCTCCCGGGTTAGTCTCGCCATCAGTTCCGACCGTTCTTCTCCCTTCCTCGGGCCCCGAGGCACCTACCATCTGGACGCAGGGCGAGTGTTCGACGCATGTCGCCGCTGCCGCATCAACTCCTGTCGCTACCGCATCAACTCCTGCCGCTTCCAAACCTACACGTAACCGTCCTACTATCACTGCTGGATCTAATCGCGTCGGCCCATGTCTCAAAAGGGGTATCAATTTGAAGTACCTCCAGACGAAGATCCAGTGGGGTGCCAGTCAAGCTACGCCAACGTCTGATGTGGGGAACTCCTCCCCGAAGACCCAGCAACATAAACTCAAGGGGAAAGCGGTTGAGGTTACTTCTGAAACAGAACTGCCCGACATAGCCGAGGAGAAATATCAGGAAGCGTTATTCATGTACAACAAACAGTGGTCTGACGACTACCCGTGGCTTGTTTTGTGTTAGACCAAAGCAGGTTTCCCGTCAATGAAATGCACGGTCTGCGTTGCGCACGGTGATGTGGGCACGAACTTCGGCGCCAAAGGAGAAGGGGCGACCGATGTGCAGACCTAGGCAATGCGGAAGCATCAGCGCACAAGGAAGCACCGCCGAGCTCTGCGCAGACAGAGGACAGCCGAGGCAGCGCTCAAGGCTAACCGCCGGATCGACGACAACCCGAAGGTGAAAGACCTTGAGAAGGAGCACCTGATCGCGCTCTTTGAAACTGCACTTTTCATCGCTAAGTCCGATGCCCCGATCGAGATGTACGTGGACTTCGTCCGACATCTGGCGCATCGTGGCACACCCGGCTTCCCAAAGAGCGGATATGGTGCCTACTACACGACGTGAATAACAATGCACTAATTTAAATCAGTGCGGAGTTTGAAGTATGTGATGCTATTACTAACCACGCGTGTTTATGCCCGTGCAGGTACGGCTTTGAAGAGATTACCGCCGCAACAGGGACATACCTTTGTTCGCGCTAGAGAGAGTTCATTGACTCGAGTCCGTACATTGGTCTGAGCTGCGACGAGAGTACAGGCCGCGTCAAAGGGAAGCACATGATTTTGTTTGTAACATTTTTGCGTGAGTATGCCGTCGTCACCGAGTTTCAAGCTAACCTCTCCATTGAGAAGTGTGATGCAGCATCTCTTCACGCTGTGCTCAAAGGATTTCTAGACAGTATCAGCCTACCGCTGGAAAAGGTGGCGGGAATCAGCACCGATGGGGCTCCTGTGATGATTGGCAATGACAATGGCCTTGTTGGGCGTCTTCGAGTGCAGATCCCGCATGTGGTGGCCTCTCACTGCATCGCACACATGTACGCTCGTTTAGGGGTTGTTGCTGTTTGATATGTGAAACTTTATATGTTTGCTGTTAGGTACTAACCAACCGATTGTGCTATTGTCCCGTGGCAGGGAAGCGCTAGCTGCAAAGGATGCGGCTAAGGCACTTCCTGAGCTTGGCATTATCGACGCTGTCATCCGCTCATTGGCAGAAGATCTCGGCAGATCGAACAACGTCAACCTCAAATTCAAGGAGCCGCAGGAGACCTTCACGCATACCAATCTCAAGGTCCAGGGGATCCACGTCGTCCGCTGGTTGAGTCGCAGTGATGCAATCGCACGTTTTTGCCATGTTTTTCCTGCTACATCGTTCACCTCGAGCAGACTGACACGACGATGTACCGCCTGGTGACATCGTTCAAATTCCACTTCTTCTTGTTCTTCCTAGCAGATGTGCAAACGACACTCAACGCGCTCAACCTGCTATTCCAGAAACGTCAGGTGAGTTGTTGTGCAACGTTCTGCAGATTCATGATCCATACCTTCTACTTATCTGTCGACCTCACTGGAGTCCACTCCGAGGTGAGGCGGACCATCATCTTGATTGCGCAGAGGTACATCGGCTGTGGCCAGCAGTTTGGTGGTGGGACCAGCGAGCTGCTGTCTGCCTTCCTCGCGCGGCACGCCTCAACCGACTGCCGTGAAGTGACTGTGGAGGGGGTGGACAGGGACGGTCAGACCCAAGTACACAAGTTTCAGCTGCACGAGGAATCTGTGCCGGGATACACCACCAGCAGCGGGGACATGCAAGGATGTTTTACCTGCTGCCGCTCATTCGCCCGCGAGCTGGTCTACAACTTGGAGTTGCGCTTGGGGGACCTGACGCGCTTGAATGGGGCGAAGCTCTTCATGCCCCGCTCATGGCCGAGGGGCGTAGAGGCAAGAGATGCAGAGTGCAAGGAGCACCTGCACGGCCTCATCCATCTTTCAGGCCAAGAACCAGGACACCATCTTGCCTGGTGAGCAATCATAGTCCCCTGACCTGCATGTGTGCATGCACGTTTTCGCATCCTTGTGTGGTTGACCTTCTTCCCATTATTGTGCTTGACGTTCTACCCGGTTGCACTTTCCCGTTTGGCAGGTGTCCAAAAGCGTGCAGCAAGAGCGGAGCTGCGCACGTTTTTGCCGGTGACCTCCACTTCCTCCAAGGAGGAGCAACCCTTTCATGCCGGTTTGAAGGCCATCTTGCAGACCGGCGACTGGAAGACCAACTACCCCAACCTAGTCCGTCTGTGGGCTGCGGTCGCTGTTCTGCCACTCAGCACATTCGAGTGTGAACGTCAGAATGTCATCAAGTCGTGGCGCAGGACAAGCCTCTGCAACGCCAAGCTGGGAGATCTTTTGGCAATGAGCCTGCTTGACTACGACATGGAGTGGGAGAAGGTGGTGGACATCTGGAGGAGCACCAAGAAAAGGCGCCCCAGCAAGCGCAAGGAGCAAGATGCGCCAGAGAAAGAGCGGGCCAAATTTGTTAAGGGGAGTGGCCGCCGGGTGCTGCAGGTGGAGGAGGAGGAGCTAGACGAGGGCATGCATGGTTCTGCAGGCGATGACAGTGAGATTGATGGTGCTGGTAGCAATGGTGGTGATGATGAGAGTGAATATGATGATGATATGAGTTAGTATGTTCAGAATCCAGCCATATCTAGTGCTGTCACAATGATAACGTGAATGAACATGTACTATTGCATCAGCTTTGATGGTTTTTTTAACCCTGCTGGTTCAGTTTACTAAGGACTTTTACACTGACAAAATCCGTATTAACAAAACCACGAACGCTGATTTGGACACCAGGATGGACGGGGCACGCTGATCTATCAGTATACCCTCAAACCAATATGAGGGGCTCAAACACCCCTACATACTCCTCCACTGTTCCAAACCGCTCTGGTAGCTTCGGCGGAGGCGTGGCGGGCTGTGCCGCGTCTACGTCCACCGCCCCTGCTGCTGTTGACATGGCGCCAGCTGTCCCCCTTGCGCCCCACAGCATGTAGCTCGCCTCTCACTACAGTCGCTCCAGCGACGCATCGCCCACCCACCCCCTTGCTGCCGAGCTGCCCCCTCCCATCCTGCAACTGACCCGCGTGCCCGCTACCCCCGTTCTCCGCACGTCCTCTCTCGCTCCCTTCCTGCCACTTCCCCCTCTTCCGCTCCCCCTTCCCCCCACGCCCGCCGGCGGCCCGCTCCTCGCGCGCGTCCCCGCGTTCAGCGCCGCCTGCCGCGGTTATTCCCAGCGCTCCAAACCATCTTCTTTGCCCGCGGGGCCTCCTTCGTCCGTGGAGGCCTCCGTTGTTAGCGGCAAGCTCAGCTTCGTATTCCGCTCACCGCCACCCACACGGCCGAGAGAGCGGCCCGCAGAAGCCCCTCCGCGGCCGATCCCCCCACTACCCTCTTCCCCTGTGCGGCTTGCCTAGCGAAACGACTCGCCTGCCTCCAGGAGCACTGTCTCCCGCGAGGGCTCCGCACAATAGCGCTTACATACTGACATGTGGGCAAGACAGATGCATGGCTGGCTTGCCGGATAGAGGTCACATCCCAAACAAGGGAGGTCTCGAAGGGCATGAAATTTTAAGGCTTCCGCAAGGTTAATCCTGCGATACGTACGACAGAGCTATTTGTAGGTAACTTCAAACGGTTTTGCGAGGATGCAGATGCTTCTGTTTAGTCCTGGCGCAGTCGCTATGTGCAGGTGTTGGTGAAAATAGACGTCTCGATTGTAGTAAAATAATGTTTTGTAACAATTTTTTTTGTTCTTTCAATACTCTATAATAATCCTGTTGTTTGATATTTCTATTAAGGTGTCACCATGCCAATTTTTGAAGGCCAAATCGGTCCAATTTTCATATAAATATACCTGATTTTAGGCCCTTGTCTGAATTTTTAGGCGTTTCATTTTCTGTGGTCTGATTTTCTTACAACTTACGGACATGATTTTTTTAACATTTATTTATTTTCTTAGGAGATCTGTCACGCTAGTATCAAGCACTCGACTTAAACCGAACTTTTTTGAACCCTTGTTTGCATGCGTGCAATCAACGCAAGGCCCACGCGTAAATCGCAGCATGGGCAACTGCATCTGCAACCGCAGCAATCGTTTCGTCGATTACTAAACTACTACATTTTTCATATTCGTTACCCTTCAACCGGCAGTCCTCCTCCCTCCTCACTATTGCCTCTCCGACACCCGTATTTGGCTCGTTTTCCTCCTTGTTCAGAGTTGTTTTCTCCTCACCTTTGAAACCCAATTATTGTCTTGCAACCCTTTCCTCGTCGTGCCCCTCATGCTCGTCCCTTGTCTCCTGTTCCAAATTTCACTCTGTGGGCCTCCGTTCTCTTCCCCCTCGTGTTTCACCTCCTGTTCTACCCTTACCTCATTCGTCGTCCCTTAAAGTCTCTCCTCCTCCATTCGAAGGCTTTCTTCGTGCCGCTCGCCTTACAGACTTATTGTCAAACTTATATGCTATAGTCTGTGTAGGCTGTAGTGGGGTAGTTCATATGGGGTACAACACTTCAGGGTTTCCTACTTGTACTCCTCATGCTGCTCAATGCAACCATTCCTCGTTCTTATTCTCAAATGGTATCAGAGGAAACGACCCAGTGAAGCCAGGTGGGCGGCGCAGCCAGATCTTCTCGTGCAGGTTGCCCTATAGGAAAGCAGTGCTAAAGTAAAAAGAGTGAAGCTCGTAGTCACGCTGAGCAGCGACGTGCAGCAGAACCCGAAGAGTGGTCATCTTGGGACGCGTGGATTGACTAGTTCACTCCTGGAGGTCAGCGGGTAACCCACTGATCGTGTACCCGGACGGGCCGCCACCTGGCCACGTTCACCCGTCAGCCTGGGTTGAGCCTGTATACCCTGACTACCGTGTCTCCTCTGGTTGCTGAGTTTGGTCAGGTAGCTGCGTCGGGTCAGGTGTTTGCTGCAGCGTCCCGGTCTGGTCCTGAGTCTGCCCCCTGCTCGTGTCGCCTCCTGTCTCACCAGACTCTCCTCTGGCACCACCGCCTTGGCCACCCCTCCCTGCCTCATCTCTGAGGCATGGCCTCCCGTGTCCTTGTTACTGGTCTTCCCCGGTCTCGCCCTCCCCTTCCCACGAGGCCTGCCCCTACCTGCGTTCCTTGCATCGAGGGGCGGCAGCGCGCCGCTCCTCACTCCTCCGAGTTCCCTCCGACGGAGGCTCCCCTGCAGACGCTTCACATGGACGTGCGGGGCCCAGCCCGCGTCCGTGGCCAGGGTCAGAAGTGCTACTTTCTGCTGGTCGTTGACGACTACTCGCGTTACACCATCGTCTTCCCCTTGCGCCTCAAGGGTGAGGTCACTAAGGTGCTGATCGACTGGATCCGCGCTGCCCGTCGTCAGCTCAGCGAGAGTTTTGGCTCGGACCTTCCTGTTTTGCGTCTGCACTCCGACAGAGGTGGAGATTTTTCCTCCGAACTTCTGCGAGCCTTCTGTCGTGCGGAGGGCATCCGCCAGACGTTCACGCTTCCGGCCTCTCCGCAGCAAAATGGGATTGCTGAGCGCCGCATTGGCATGGTCATGGACGTCGCTCGTACGTCCATGATCCATGCGGCTGCTCCCCATTTTCTGTGGCCGTTCGCGGTTCAGTACGCTGCGCATCAGATCAACCTTCAGCCTCGTGTCTCCTTGCCGGAGACCACACCTACTTTGCGGTGGACGGGGAAGGTTGGCGATGCGTCTGCGTTCCGTGTCTGGGGATCTCGGGCTTTCGTCCGCGACTTGTCTGCGGACAAGCTGTCCTCCCGTGCTGTTCCCTGCGTCTTCCTTGGCTTCCCCCCTGACGCGCCTGGTTGGCAGTTTTACCACCCCACCTCGCGCCGTGTTCTGTCCTCTCAGGACGTCACGTTTGACGAGTCGGTTCCTTACTACCGTCTCTTCCCCTACCGCACTGCCCCCCTCCCCCCCCCGCCGCTCTTCCTCGTGCTAGGTCCTCCCCCGATAGATCCCCTCCCCCCTCAGGGAACTGCCCCCTCAGGTGTGTCCCAGGTAGACGCAGTCGAGCCTGTCGAGGTAGCTGTTGACCCTGGTGCTGCTAGGGGTGCTGAGCCTGGTGGTGCCGGGTCTGGGGGTGCTGAGCCTGAGCGTGCGGAGCCTGGGGGTGCTGAGTCTGGGGGTGCTGAGCCTGGGGTTGCTGAGTCTGGGGGTGCGGAGCCTGAGGGTGCTGAGCCTGCGCGTGTAGAGTCTGGAGGCGCCTGGAGGTCCTTCGGGTACTTCGTCCCGGCGGGAGCCACTCTCTCGACAGCAGCTGCGCGAGTGGTTTGCTCGGCGCTGGAGCCGTGCTGCTGGAGCTGGTGGTGCTACGGGCGCTGGAGGTCCTGCTGCTGCTGGAGCTACTGGGGGTTCTGGAGCCACTAGTCCCGGAGGTGCTCGTACTGGAGGTATTGGAGCTGCTGGGCCTGGTGGTGCTGCTGGGGCTGGAGCTGCTGGAGGTGCTGGAGCTCACGGTACTGCTGGAGCAGGTGCTGCTGGAGGTACCGCGGCTGGAGCTGCTGGCACTGCTGGAGCTTCTGGTGGTCCTGCTGGAGCTGGAGCTGCTGGGGGTGCTGGAGTTGGAGGTGCTGTTGGAGCCGGTGCTCCTGTGGGTGCTGGAGTTGGCGCTACTGGAGCAGCTGGAGGTGCTGCTGGAGCTGGTGGTGCTGCTGGAGTTGGAGCTCCCGCTGGGGATGCTAGTGCTGTCCCTGCTGGTTCTGGAGGCACTGCGCGGCCGCGACCGTACTACGTTCCGCTCCTTCAACAGGTTCTTGGTCTCCCGCCTTCTACTGGTCCCGCTCCTTCCTTAGAGTGTCTACCGCCTGTCCAGTCACAGTCACAGTTACAGCCCCCCTCCCCACTGCCTGCTCCTTCTCCTTACACTAGTCCGACCGGAGGTCTTGCTGAGCGTCGTGAGCCTGCGTCTCGTCCTGCGTCGCCTGTTCGTGCTGCTAGCACTAGTCATCGTGGTTTGCGTCAGCGTCCTCCTCCTGTCCGTGGCATGCATCGGATGGCTCTGCGTCCTTCTACTGCTCCGCAGCGTGTCCCTCTGCCGTCTCCTCCTGCGTCCTCTCTTCCTACCCTTGCTGACCCGGAGTCTGACTCCCTTCGTGCTGCTAGTCTTACTGTCACGCGTCTCCCGGCCACTGTTGTCACTGACCCTTCCTTTGAGTCCACTGCTGCGTCTGCCTTAGTTGCTGAGCTTGTCGACTTTGCTGCTCACTGTCGTCTAGACTACGCCGCGAGTCTTGTTGGTGAGTCTCACTCTGTCCGTCCTCCGTCCGTCGGGGGTGAGTGTGCTCTTGGCACGGACGTCCTTGAGGACAGGCAGGAGGACTTTGAATGCTTTGCAGCTGCTGTACCCCATCTTGTGTCCATGTTGATTGCACCTGAGGGAGACCCGGATGCACCAGACATCCCGACCCCGCGCTCTTACGCAGAGGCGATAGAGGGTCCCTACTCCTCTCAGTGGCAGTCAGCCATGGACGCAGAGATGGCATCCTCGAAGTCCACAGGCACCTACGTCAACGAGGTTCCCCCTCCTGGGGCGAACATCGTCAGTGGCATGTGGATTTTTAGGGTGAAGCGGCCGCCAGGTTCTCCGACTGTCTTCAAGGCGCGTTATGTTGCTCGAGGCTTCAGTCTGCGACAGGGAGTTGACTTCTTCTAGACCTTCTCCCCGACCCCGAAGATGACCACTCTTCGGGTTCTGCTGCACGTCGCTGCTCAGCGCGACTACGAGCTTCACGCTCTTGACTTCAGCACTGCTTTCCTACAGGGCAGCCTGCACGAGGAGATCTTGTTATAGTCACAATAGGCTTGAATGTGCCTAAAACGAAAGATAGAGAGCACAGACGGATTTCTGCACAGCGGCTTCAAACGTTGATAGCGTTCTGCTCACAGCTGCAAATGACTTGATTCAAATTGGATCTGGAGCGTCTTCACGTCGTCTATAATTAGCAATTTAGATTGCACGATTTGATAAAGAATTGACGACACAGCGTCGGTTTGAACGAACGGTACTATGGCAGCCACTATAGTCTTAGAACACAAGATAGGAAGAGTTACGAGTTGGGAATGACTCCCAGCTCCTACAAACCCCAAGAGCCGAGGTACAGTGATGTGGAACAGTGCCACACTGTCCCCAACCACGAAGGGTCTCGAAACTACCCTTCACTAGGGCCTACACCAAGTGAAATGTTACACTACACAAAGTAATGTAACTATCTTCAATATCTTGAGGTGTACCCTTTTTGGCGAGCTTCGAAATCACTTGAGGCTTGACACCAAGGCTCGGGCTCTTCATCACAAACTCATCCTTGAGTTCTTGATGGGTCTGCTGCACACACCTGCGACACGCCGAACGTTCGACACAGGACAAAATAGAAACCGCGCACGACAAAATAGAAACCGCGCGCGAGACACAAACGA